TACGGGAAGCAATGAAAAAAGCGTGTGGAAGAAGAGACCCCCACAGTGTTGGACCTTGTCGTGGTTGTGGGGCTTGAGTGGTTCCGTGATCAAAAGGCTACGGGGAAACAAGTACCATTTTTACACCAAAATTCAAATTCAAATTAATTCCCGTTAATTCAAATTAATTCACGTAAATTCAAATTAATTCACTTTAATTTAAATGAATTCGCGTTAATTCAAATTAATTTACGTTAATTCACATGAATTCAAATTAAAACACATTAATTCACGTTAATTCAAATTAATTCAAAGGGGTGTAATGTACACCAAAAATTCAAAGTTGTTTCCCCCTAGTCAAAAGGCGTGTAACGGCAGGCGCTCCAACCCGCGTATGACGCCCTCTGTTTTCTGCTGCCCTTTAGAAGCTATTCTTCTAGTAACACATCTGGATAGAGCCTTTGTTGGGCTCCGTGGTAGGTGAGGAGCTAAAAGGGAGAATTTACACTCTTCTGACATGGAGACTGATCAAAATGATAAACCAGAGGGAGCGTGCTAGGATACCCCTGACCCTATGTTACCGGTCACCGGGTTTCCACAACACACTAAACCACGCAAGCGCATCTCCGGCGCTGAGCAGAAAATGAGAAAGAAGGCCAGACTGGCCCAAATGGTCAAACGGCTCCAAACCTCCCGTGACCCAACCCTGACCCAGAGGCAGATTCCTAGAATCGGGCAAACGGGTAGGCGGAAAAAAAACTCGAGCGCGATCTAATAAGGATATCGTGCGAGTGGTGAGTGGTTGAAGGTGGTTGCCAACCAACCTTCCACAATGGTGTGAGAAGACTGCCTTTCTAGGCTCCGCAAGGCTGCCGTCTAAGTCCCAGGGGAACCTGGGAGCTGTCCAAAAGGGTTATTCGCAATCCTAAGATCAGAGGTCAATCCCATGGAAAATGTCTGGGCGGTTGTCAGTGAGATGGTAAATGTGGCGAGGGTAGCCTGGGGGTGAAATCGTTCTAATCACCAGGATTAGACGGCATAAT